CAAAGCGCCTTTTTTCTCCCCTGTTCTACCTACAAATCAAATTGAAATTGTGTTTTTAAATAATAACAATCACAATTATTCAGCGAACTCGCATAGATCCCTCTTTTTCAAGGTTTTGGATAAATTGGGAAATAGGAGGACAATGCCAGAGGTGCCAAAATTGACACGTCAATAGAAAAATATTTATGTCGGGGGAAAAAACCCACTCACCTTACAGTACTGGAACCGTAATCTTCCCATCTTCATAGTGAATCACTCAGTACCGTTGCTCAGGAGCTGGGGAAGAAACACAAAGCTCTATGGTGACTTACGTAACAGTTCAGGAAAATGGACACTTTCAGTTTAGTTTAAGTAAACGTTTTACAGCACTTGCAACACAATGAGGTCATATAAGTGCCGAAGGCTAGAGGTGTCACAATAGAGTCATCAGTCATCATCATCATCTAGTGCCACATCTGCGACAGACATCGGCGATCATGGTTCTCCATTCATTTCTTTTCTCGGATGCTCTTTAAAAAGTTACGTTTTCCTGATCTTCCCCCGTTACCCATTTGTTTAGGTTCCCGTAGTAGGTTGCTCTGAGCCTACCCCAGCCTCGTTTGCCACACAAAAGGGGGAGAGATAGGACGATTGATGCTTGATAAAAAAGAGCGAACCACACCAGAGCACCCGTCAACCACCACACTGGACACTTTCAGAAACTGTACATGCCCCCCCGCCCCCAACTTCCCCCTTACATATAGTAGTAAATCCTTTTAAACACAGAAAGATTAACAAGAAACCTTGGGCACAGCAAACACATTACTTTATCCTTCCTTTTGTGTCGTGAGATATTGAGGGGAGGTGCAATTTTTGGTCAAGGGCTTGGTGGGCGTCTTCTGTCGTTATTGATATATTTATGTTATTCTTTCGGAGGACCTCTTCGACGCCATCCAGCGCAAGTTGTGGTCTTCCCGCGCCCTTGTATCAGGACTCCTTTGAGTTGTATGATAGTGCTGCTAGTTTATTAAGGGACATTGTCATCAGATGACCCAACCACTTGATTATATCATGTTCTGCATTATTATGCTCCATTATCAATTTTATCTTTGCTAAATTTCAGACAGCCTCGTTCGTTCCTTACGCAGTCTTTTTGCGACATTATTCAATTTTCCGAGGCTTCAGTTTTAGCTTTAGTAAGAGTTTTACGGCACTTGCAACTCAATAAGGTCATATACGTGCCGAAGATTAGAGGTGTTACAAAGAGTAACAAATATAAAAAGGAGGGGAGATAAACACGATAGATGTTTGATAGGAAAGAAGGAGCAAACCACACAGGAGCACCCGCCAACCACCCACAATTTTCTAAGGCATTTCATCTTATGGGCAACAATCTTCCCTTTATTTTGTGCTGTCTTTAACTACCATGCCTGGCATCGGTAAGTTTGTGTTGGAAAGAATGTGCTGTTGATAAATTGTCTTTTTACTTCCAATGCTACAGGTTCGTACTGATTTAATGGTTAGTAATGGTGGCAATTGGTAGTTCACTTCGTTTGCTTTTCTACGTGTCATTTTAGTTCCCATGTCCAATCTTTCGTCACGTGTATTCCTTAACGTGTTTGAATTTTGCACCGACGATCGTTATGTTCAGTGGGCCTGGGTTTCTGCTGACTTTCATTATTTCTCTGTTTTCGCAATGCTGATTCTCATCTGGTATTCTTTGCGCTTTTCGTTCAGGCTATTATTTTTGTTTTCTTGCAAGCTGTTGACGGCACGCACGTATATTGGTATATTATATCAAAGCAGATTGTGGGTGTGTGAGTGTATGTGTG